AAAAAAAAACAACTTTCCAATTTGAGAATCAAAGCTCACATGCACAGCAAAGAGCCAATCATTGTACAACAGGTCACCAGTCTATCATATGTTCCATTGACAGAGTTTACAAATAAAAAGTTTAAAAAACTAAAGGAAGAGCAAAAAAAATTTTTGTTCCAAACAGCAACAAAACCAATAACCCACAACAAGCATTAGAGAGGTGGCTCCCTTACTTCTACAACATGACCAACAGCCTCAAAGAGATCGGTGAGTTTGGTGAAGCCATAATCCGCCACGCGACACTGCCTGCCAAAGTGGTGGTGGTAGGCAGGGATGAACTTGTTGAAGGGCATGCGGCACTGGGGGTTGTGCCTCAGCAGGTCGACCACCTCCAGAGAGAACTGCTTGGTGCGCTCAACCTCCTCAGCAGTCTGGTCTGTACACAAAAAAAGGACATGGCCACATATACTACCACATATTTTATCCTGAGTATTAGAAAATACATAGAACAAAATGTTCAGATTCCTTCACTTTCCAAGGATTAATGTGTTGATCATAAATGAACAGGTTTGACTAAAGATTCATATGGGTGTAAGGTACAATCCTGATAACTGCCAGATGAATCACGTTTATTGCAGCCACTAATCTCATACACTTTGTTTCCACAAATATTATATGGAGCACATTAACACCATTCACATTAATGTACATGCTGAATAAGCCCAGTTGAGTGTAGTTTAAGGTGAGTCGGCACCATAACAATCCGTTTGAAACATCAAAAAAACGTACTTTTACTTTTCCCTTTGGCCCTTTGTGAAGCCCAAACCACCCACAACCTCTCTCCAGTCATCATAATCCTGGGTCAGTCTTAAGCTGTTTTGTTTTTTAATTAACAGTTTTTCAGCACTTTCAATACAAATCATATAAAGTGCTGAAGAATAGAGTTCCTAGAGAGTAACATACATAGAAATGAAGGAGGTGATATGAGGACAATATAATGTTTGACAAGAAAGGAGCAAGCCACATCAGAGCACCCGCAAACGATCCTGGATCTCAGTCTCTCTACACCTGTCTCCAGAAACATCTGGTCCACCTCAGCTGTACAGCTACACCATGGAACCAAGTGTTCATTCTTCCTCTTTTCCTTTTCCATTGTTGGTTCCAGGTTAAGGCTTCCCTTGAGATCCTAGTTTCAGACTTGTGTAGAGAGTACCCAGTCCATCTCCACTGCCTCAAAAGATTTTGTCCTGTAAAAGCTAATTGTTTAATTCTTAGCAACAGCTTCTGGCTGCTGATTATGTCTGGCCAGTTGACTTTAAGAACTCTCCTTGGGTTCTGTGATTCCATAACCACTTAATATCCCCTGTCATCATGCCAATCTAAGAAGCACCAAAGACCCCAATAAAAATCGCAATTTTCAGTTTCGGACAATCCTAGCCAATTGTTGTCTACTGAAAAATTCCTCCTTGATTGATAAACCTCTGTCATTGTAAGGGCAAAAACCTGGATAACATCCAAGTTGATCCACCTTTTCCACACATCAAAGGAATTTGTTTTAGTAGAGGTTTATAGCAACTGCACAAGGCAGACCTGCCACTCTATGAAACCTCAAAATCAGGATCTCAGGGAGAAAAAATCGGGATTTGGTGAAAAAAATCAGGATCAACAGCAAATCACCAAGGTGACTGTCAAAAATGACTTAAAATTTGTTCAGGGGTGTCCATAAATAATGCATAAATTCCTTGGTCTATATCCTCTGAGAGTCTTTCTTTGTTTGCGCGTGAGTGTGTGTGTGCGTGTGTGTGTGTGTGCGTGCGTACATGCGAGTTATCGTTATTTTATATAAATCCTGAAGCATCGCGTCAAGCACTCCTTCCTAGTCCAGGTGTCTATAACCCAACCCCCCCCCCCCCCCCCCCCCACCAATAAGTCCCGAATACATGAACTTAAGTTGACCCCATCAACGGACGGTCCCCGACACGCAGAACTCACACGGCGATGATAGGTCACGTGACGCGAATGCGCGATTCAAACAATTTTACTAACGGGTCCGACTAACTGCGCGTTCACACCAAACACTCGGATGAGCGACAGTCGTTCTACTTCTAGAATAACGACAGCGGCCGACCGACCAAATGTACCAACAAATCTCTTATCCCTCATGTGTTCAGACTAAAGCAACAACAACGGCCGTATGTTTGTCTTGTCAGCGCAGTTACATGTAGTTGATTAAGGGTTAGAAAGACTGTGGCTCGTCCGAGTGTTTGATGTGAACGCGCAGTTACCAGACCTCGGACAAGGCTTGTTTTGAAAGTAACAGCGGAACTACGAACATTATCGATTATTAAATGTCCCAAATTGTAACAGTTACCAGGCTATCATCGGAAAATTCTGAGTGCGGGCAAAGATCACACACAACTTGGGCCGAGTCAACTACTAGATGCGGCATCGATATTTCGGGAAATAGTGCTTCGAGTTCCTACTGACAAAAAGTTCAACGGGTGCTTCCCGCGATAAAGGAGAAGGCAGAGCAAGTTTTTAGAAAAATCCAGCACAACAGCAGACTGGGACAAAAAATCGGGATACACGCGATCGAAATCGGGAAAATCGGGATGCTTTAGATTTGGGGCAAAAAAATCGGGATATCCCGACTAAATCGGGATGAGTGGCAGGTCTGCATAAGGTCATATGAGCGCCAAGGGGAGGATGTCAACAGAGAAGTCCTTACAGGGAATCAGGCTTACTCTGCTCACCTCTCTTGCTTCAACAGCACAAAGTCTGCTTTGACTATCAAGGCACCCTGGAAATAGCGGGTCACAAGAGTGTGACAAACATACAAAAGAAGTAGAGAGAAAATGACGATAGGATTAGAAAAGAAAAAGCAGCAGTTCCCTGTTGCAGTTCACGAAGTTATGAGCATGACATTGATGAATCAGCCCATTAACAATTACAATTCTACTGTGCATAAGATCATGGTTAAAGTCCCCCTTTTGGGAATGGCCTAAAGACACTTCAGTCAGTAGCACCGCCCCGGGGTCATATCAAAAGAAGTTGTAATCTGAGGGCCATATCCTCTCCATTCAATGGAATTCCTTTCCTATCCCTCACAATTCTAAACCAGGTTTGAGATAATTAAAATAGTGGCAACAAATTTTAAAAACAAGTAAAAAGATGGAAATTACACCACAGTGCCCATCAATGACCCACTCACAAAAGAAAGCCGTTGGAGTTACATCAATTCAGATTACGCAACATGACAAAAATGCACAGCTTCAACTTACCCCTTCTTGGCAGGGCCAATAAAGTGTGACTGCTCTCCTCAATCACCTGAAAATAAAATTATTGAGGTGTAATTTGCTGTAAGATTGAGGACTGTCACATTTTGAGAGGAACAAGCTAGGATAATAGTAACACTGACAAAAAGCAGGCCCAATCCACAAATATAACCCACCAAGCACTAGTTTGAAATTTAAAAATATCCAGGGAAAATTACAATGTACTTTCGAATGTTAAAAGCTTTACACAAAGACTAGAGCTGGATCCTTCTAAAATTTTGGTGAATAGCGAGAATGAACTGCTCGCTCCAAGTGAGTCGTGAGCAGGCTTGAGGCTTGCACCCTGTGACATCACATACATTTTCCCCTTATGCCAACAGCCAACAGTGCTGGCTAATGGGTTCGGGGCATTCTTGACAGAATGGATCCACTGCTCTGCGATACACACGCCAAAGTCTCTCCCAAAACTCGGGAGCTGAGTTAAAATTTGTCATTAACATTTTTCTTTTTTTTTCTTGGGGGGGTATAATGACGCCCTTTTTATACGCTTTATTTGCGCGTACGCACACACACACACGTTATATATCAGTAATGCAGAGTATCAAAATAAAGCACAAGTCAATTAGATAAGAGTGCAGCAAATGCAGGACAAACAAGCGAAATAAAAATATACAATGTATCGCATTGTCCTGTTCAAAAACAAAATCATGTCCACGTTGGCTGGTTTTAAAGATCCTCTTCTGGCCGAGATGAGCTCACCCGCTTTCGAATAGAGCCTCTCAGTGGGGACTGACGAGGCTAGAACAGCAGGAATGTCCTTGGCAATGCGATTGAGCCGTGGTGACGAAATCCCGTTTGCTCCCCACCAAGTCAGAGTGTTCGAGTCTCGTGGCATCATGTCACTCTCCAGGTAGCGGCGGATTTCCATCTCCACTCCTGCTACTCTGGGCACAGCGGTTTGTTCACCTTTGACCACTTGATCAAACCGCCTAGAGCTTCGATGCTTTTTAAGAAGGTGGGGAAGCTGTTGCTTCTTCTTCTCTTGCTGTTGTTTGTCCTGGCGGCTGTATGACTTGAGCATCTCAAAGGTACTGTTCCAGCGAATTTCCACATCCTGTTTTAGCTTCCTCGGTGTCATATTTTTAGTTTTGTGGGCTTCTTTGAGTGAGTTACTTGCGTTAACGCTGTGGTGGAAAAATGAAACAATGTCTTTCACCTTGTTTTTAGCTGTGAACATATCACCAGTCTTTCTGATGGATTCCTTGACAACGAGGTTGAGGGTGTGTGCAAAACATGGCCGATGTCGACATTTCAGCATCTCAACCGCGAGCTTCGTGTCGGCTGCGTTGTCCGTGACAACGGTAATCACTTTGTCCTTTATTCCCCAAGCTGTAAAAATTTCTAAGACCTTCGCAGCAATGTTTTCAGAAGTGTGAGTTGTCTCCAGTAACACAGTGTTCAGGACTCTTGATGTCAGCTTCCAGTCAGGGGAGACAAAATGCACGGCCACTGTCATGTAGGACTCAGTTTTTCGTGACGTCCAGCAGTCTGTGGTGACAGTGAAGTGGTTCACTCCATCCATCTGTCTCCTCAGCTGCTCCCTTTCTGCTTGATATTTTGTAGGTTGCAGTTGAGTTGACAAGGTTTTTCTTGAGACGATCTCTTAACAAGGATCCAGCTTGTTCCCCAGTTGTCGAAACGCTGTATTTTCTACCACTGAAAGAGGTTGTAGGTTGACTGTAACCAGATCCAGCACACAGTTGTCTAGTTCTTCTTTGTGACTCTCTATGGTGTCGAACAGAGTTGGTTGTGTAGACCTACTTGGACTAGCTGAGGGCGCACAACTCAAAGAGTAGTCAAAGAAGAAGCCGCAGCTGGAACACTTGTAGTCGATGAGTTTTCACTCACTTCCTCAAATTGAGCAATCGAACAATGTGGAAAGGATGTTTTTTCCTCAAATGCCTGAGCAGATTTGCTGTTGATCTTCCCGAGAAGGCTTACTCACATTTGCATACATCACAAACAGAAATCTTGGCACCGCCAACACCGCCACTCTTCTGTGTTATCAATTTCCAAACTCGACTTGGCTCGGCAGGCATTTCCTTAGCAATAAGTTCTTACAAAGAGTAAATTACAACAACAAACAACAAATGCAGGTTTGTTCCAAAGCAGATAGTAAATGGACAATGTAGTGCAATCAGCCAATTAAACTTTATGCAACAACGCAACAAAAAGAATTAATATGCAAATTTCCAGAGAGACATAAAGACCTCAGTAGAGTAACAATGGATAGTAAAGCTTATTACATTTTAACAAAAAAGATTCAGATTCATAGTAGAGAATCTTTGCTGCAACCCTGAATCACTGAATCGCACTGAGTTGCTCAAGTGAGTTGAGAGTTGATTCCCGGAAATGGGAGTTGTGAGCAGAGAACGGAATCGATACTTGGATCCAGCTCTAACAAAGACTACTACTTTTTAAATATCTGTATACTTGAGAGGATTTGGAAGAACTAGATATAGAACAGGATAATGTAGTTTTGAGAGCATCTGAGCAAAAGAATGAATGGAAAACCATGATCACGGATGTCTGTCGCAGATGTGGCTCTTGATCTTATTACATTACTTTTTATGTGGAGAAAATGACTAATAAAGAAACCAGTTAAGTAATCTGTGAATCGAAAAGTAATTTCAGACTCACAATGAGTGTGGTGGTCGGTATGTCCATTAGCACATCTTCCATGAAAGCCACACCATAATGAGGTAGAAATAAAGGCTTGCCCATCACACGTTCTGGGGAAAAAAGCAACATATCTGTTTAAGAACTGATGGGAGAAATATCCTCAGCTTAAAGAGCAGCAACATTGTTGTACATAAGTTTTAAACTGCGTTAAAGAGACTAATTGGTGCGATACCCAAATCAACGCAATTTAGACCATTTAAGAAGAAAGCTGCTTCGACCCTGCCTGTCAAAAGTAGACTTCTTGGGACTAGGTAATATTACTTTTGACAGAGGAGAAGAGTTCAGCAACCATAGTACATTATTTTAGTCTATTTTTCAAATTACATTTTCCCTTTAATTCATTTTTTTAAACACTTTCCCTACCGCATGCGGCTCGCGGTTGTGGCCTTGCTTGACCGAGAACCACAACATACGACTCGAGTGGCTTGCTATCTATTCCAATCCAGTAATGAAAAGACACGAAAATCTCAGCCGATCCATGTTTTCGAAATAATAGAATAGACTTCCAGTTCACGGATAATAATTTTAGCACTTTTTTCTGTCCTTTTCGAAACGTAAAACTGAAAAGAAAAGTGCTCCCCTAACTTCACTGTATGTCTCATATTTTCACTTCTATAATACGTACACATACATAACTTTCATCTTTTCTTACCATTACTTGAGGCAACCTACCTGTGAAGTTTGAATGATGCTGTCGTACTTTTTTAGATATGACCTTTCAAAGCTGGGAGAGTGTTGATTTCATAAGACACCTCCGATATTGCATAATCACTTTTAGAAACCCCAAATTAATATAATTGGAATACATTTTCAATATTGTATCACCATTCGATAGATTATTTTTTAACCTTCAGTTCGGTGTGCCATATGATACGGTTTGTGTGTGTTTCGTGATGTTTTAGCATTTTCCTTTGGTGGGGTAGGGGCGTAAAAATAGGTCCGGGAAAAGCCCTGGGCCAGTGGTGGATTTTGGCCAGGTAGGAAAAGAGTTAATGGCTGGCGTAAAAACAGCAATAACATTCTGCTCTGTGATGCTACATGTCTACATCCTCATCAGCAGTTTATATAATTTAGGAAGCATGCCGCTTCAACCCTCCTGTTGAGTCCAACCTAAGATTAGTGGGAAACAGCATCCCAGCAAAAATATTGAGGTACTCAAAATAAATTTCACTACACCAGAAACGGACCTATATCTTTTGCAAATAAAGCAATAAAGCTCACCTATAACACCAAAGGTGCCACTCAACATTCCGAGTCCTTCAGTAATAAGAATATCAATTTTGTTTTAGTAGGCTTTACGGCGCTTGCAACTGCATAAGGTCATATGAGCGCCAGAAGATTAGGTTTTACAAGAGAGTAACAAACATAAAAAAGGAGGGGAGATAAGGATGATAGATGTTTGATAGGAAAGAAGGAGCAAACCACATCAGAGCACCCGCCAACCACCCATGTAGTTAATTGGACAGGGAAGAGTTCAAGCGAACAATAAACCCTTAATGTATAAATAACTTTACTAAAAAATATCAGTCTTCAGCAAAGTTCAAGGGTTCTAGCCGTTTCTTAGACGAGAAGAAGCAAATCGACGCCAAAAATGTAAATTTAGTGCAGGACTTAAGACTTACTAATGGCATCCTCCAACCACCTGTGAGAACACACAACCACCCCACCCCCTCCCCCAGCTCTCACTCACCATATGCTTGCGGGAAGTCGTCCAGCATCATCTGCTTAGCCGGCTGAGCTTTGACCACCTTGATGATGTCCGTGGTGAAGCGCTTGAGCTGAGCCCGGGGGCTCAGGGTGATGGCCTTTCGGTCCCCTGTGCCCAGGATCTGCAAAAAGGTGGTTGGGACATTCATGATTGTGACTGATTGATTGTAAATCCCCCCCCTGTGGTAGTTGACAAAATTCAAAACTTTTTATTTTCAGTTACAGATACACCCATTGATAAACAGCTCAACCAGCTTTAACAGCCACCTGTCCAAGACAATCACCTGTACAAACAACCATTTCCTATGTCTTACCTTGTATTTTTTTATATTATAAGGACACTGTCCAACCTGTCTAAGACAACCACTTTTCTCCTCTAAAAAGGGTGGCGGCCTTAGACAATTTCAACTACATTACTTCCTTTCAAATCAGGAAAAAGGCAGGACAACAAAATAAAATTGAAAAAGAACTACAGTAAATAAGTGTCCTCTAATCACACATCTCTAAAACGAAACAAAAACAAAGAATGGTCTGACCGACCTGTATAGCATGGGGAATGGCCTCAAACAGCTCCTGTAGTTTGGTATAACCATAGTCGGCCACGCGGCACTGTCGGCCAAAGTAGTGGTGATAGGCTGGGATGAACTTTGACACAGGCATGCTGCAGGTGGTCTGCTGACGAAGTAGCTCCATCACCTCACGGCTGATCTTGCCCAGCTCCTGCCAAGAGCTGCCCTTCATCATATCTGCCATAAAAGCAAAGACAAATCAAAACCCATGTCACCCAGTTCGCTTCAATCAGCATAACAGTTGTCATCTCAGTCTTAAAACACTGCCTAAGAAAGTAAACATGATTTCATCAAAACTAATGCAAATTATTTTCTACCCAATAAAAATTTTCATTCAATTTGATGCACTGTAACATTGCTTTCCTCGTACATAATACATAATAGAAAAGAAAAAAAAAAAGATGACCTCCAGGAAACGGTTCCTTCTGTTTAAAATTTGACAACATAGAAGTTTCAACAAAATCCTTTTAGACAACAATTTTTTCAGCAACTTATGCCTCATTTTAACAAATTTTCCAGAATTTAAAGGGAAAAAAAGAGAAACAAATGATGAAATCTTGACAACCCAGAGTAATTATCAAACACCATACCATAAAACTGATCTCGATTTTCCTGGAACTGAATGACCTTGACCCCAGCCTTCGACACTGTGATTTCCACTCCAGGCACACAACTGATGACATGCTCTAGGGGGATTCCTCCTTCCTTAGCGACTAGCAGAGGCTGGAACTCTGCGCTGTAACATGCTGGGAAACTGCAACAAACCAGGAAAAGAACATCTTTAAAAATAAAATAAAAAGTAAGTTGTTTAGGTTACATGCTAAGGGTAATGGCATGCATCCTAGGGTAGCAGTAATTCCATGAAAGCAGAAAAGCAGGACGTGTTGGAAGACAGATGCTATGAGCATCTTTCATCAAAACAAAGAGCAAACTGTTGATCCAATCCACAGCTATCAGCTTGATCTACACAGAGTAAACAAACAGCCTCAGTGATGTCACCTAATCAAACACGGATTAATAGAACTTTATTTTTAGTCAGTACCATCCCATCATCATGCAAATATATGAAATGTACATATGTGATGTATACATATTATGAAGTACACAAAATACATTATCACGTCACAATGAGACCCTTTCTTTAACTCACTCAATCCCATGACCAAGATTTCACGGTCAGCTCGTGGGCTGCATTCAACCCCACGACCAAGATAACTAGGTTCGATAGTTTTGTTCCGTATACTAGTTATTTAATTTCGGAAAACGGCCTCAAGTTTTAAATAAGATCAATTTATTATAGAGGGGTGCTGGAATTTTGTTTCTACTGTCATTGTACCCGGAGATATCGCGCTTCATATGATGTAACTTTCGTCATATTTATTAACACTGATCAGTTGACCATGTCTCGCAATTGATTCTCTCTGCCTTTCTCGCACAAACATGTTTTTATTCATGAAAGTATTTAAGAGTCTTTATTAAACATGACATACAATATATAAATCTAGACACAAGCATATTTGAATATCAATGCACGCTTGATCTTGCCCATTCGGCCATGAAAAAAATAATAAGGCACCCAACATGCCAAATTTGTACAACACCCAAAAGCAAAACTACTAAAGCAACATACTTCAAATTTAGTATGTCCAAAGATTCTATTTAGACTGCAATTTGTGCCAAATTTCAAAGCAATAAGATGATATTCATGGTTACTAATTGGGCCCTTACATAAGTGCCAAAATGACCAGTTCTGGGTACAATTTCGGGAAAAACTCACAGGATTGAGCAAGTTAAAACACTACACACCGTGTTTGTTTTTTGTTTTCCCGCTCAGTTCATTTCCCACAAGCTGTTTAAAATCGGGACTTGAGCATTCAGAGTCAAGTGTTCCATGGAAATAGTATTTAACACTACATGAATTCCTCTTTAAGTAATGAAAATCATGAATTTTAAGATGTGCACAAATAAAACCTGATATACTGTATGTTTTACACAGGCAGAAAGTCGTTACAGTGAAATAATCACCTCATTGTCCAATACAGACAGCACCTAACAATGAACCTTTTCTTAGCAAAAAATGTATAATGTTTGCCACGATAAGATAAGAAAAAAGGTCCCAAAATTCCAAATGAAAACCATCAAAGGGCCCGTACCTCATGAGAGGGATGTACCCATTGTGCGAGAGTAGCAGAGAGTGCAGCTGAGGGGAGAAATGTTTCCGTAAGACGCGCACACTCGGCAGCATGCAGGAGTTGATAGCTTCAGCGTAGTGGACGCTGCCCTCCGCGCAATGGATGGTGCACACTGGCTGCTCAATCACTTCAGGGACCTGAGCAAACACACAAATACACTGGGTCACACAACTGTTCACAGATTGGAATAGTGCAAACTATTATCCATTTTATATCAAAGAGAAGCACATCAACACAATAATGGTCACACAACGCAAGGAAAAAGTAGGACAGAGACAGAAACAACAGAAGGCTGGTTAACCCTATCCGTATGCCCTGGGGTCATTTTGTACCCTCGGGGTTGTATTCACATTTTAAAATACTTCTAATACAAAGATACCTTTGAAACTTTCAGTATTTCTCAAAAAATCATTTTGACACACTGCTATGCAAAGCGTACGAATCGGATTAACGAGTAAATTTCCTCTTTGAAAAGTGATGGCACAGAGTTCCCCACGTCATATGGATACGATAGTAAAACACGATGTACAAATAGGGTTAAGAAGTACAAGTAGAACCTACATGCGGTTCCCTCCAATCACCTGCACCCTAATCTCAGATGTAGACAAAGATGGCCACACTACAACACAGATGTCAGATGTAAACAAAGATAGCCACACTAAAAGGCTGCGACAAGCAAATGAGCAGCTGACATCATATCAAAATGCTTACCTCACTATCCAACGCTTGTACAGGCGTTGGTGAGCGACGAATACCTGGCTGTAACTTGACCCAACGCCCTGCACCACCAGTTTCCTGAATGTGGATTGTGTCCCGCATTTTGTAGATGTCTGACACACTCACAGTCTTGTGGAACCTAAAAAAAAAAACAGTGGATCATTGAAAAGAAAAGAAAACAAAAAAGATATGAGAAAAGAAAAGAAAGGAAAAGAAAAGAGAAGAAAAGAAAAAAAAAAGAAGAGAAATAGGAATAACAAAGAAAAAAAAGAAGAGAAATAGGAATAACAAAGAAAAAAAAGAAGAGAAATAGGAATAACAAAGAAAAAAAAGAAGAGAAATAGGAATAACAAAGGAAAAAAAAAAGAGAAATAGGAATAACAAAGAAAAAAAAAAGAGAAATAGGAATAACAAAGAAAAAAAAGAAGAGAAGATAAAACAATATACTGTCAATCATCATCAGCAATACAAAGGCCTGTCGAGGTTCAGTTACTGCCCTTACCCCTGTTCTGTTTACCTTATATACCAGCGACTAAAGAAACCATTTTATCAAGATACCCTTGATTGAGTACGCTGATGATACCCCTGTCCAAACACTTATACAGTAATCAGAAGATCCAGTTCACAAAAGTAAAACAAAATTTTATTGCTTCACCTGAAGATCATCACAATCCGCTAAATGTTTGTTCAGTATTTTGCTTAGACAAAAAGAAAAATTGAAGTTAACACATATCTCTGTCACAAGAAAACCACTTACGTCCAAACTTTGAATTTTTTAAAATTTTAACACCCTCCCAAATCTATATTAATGATGGACCTTTCAGCATCACCAAAATGCAGTTAAATGCTTTGGTGAAGCTTTCCAATTTTCTTGCTTTTCATGGTTACTGATAGGAGCAACAAAAATAAAACTACTTTTTTGTCAGTAACGTGATAGGTACCCATGCAGATTTAAGTAGATTGCTTGCAACATTTACATATTGTGAAACTTGGGGAAAAACATCGGAGAAAAAGGGAGAAAAAAAAACAAAGTTCTGGAAAAAAAGAACAATCGAAACTTTTTTCAAATAATTTTGACAACAATGAGACTCCAAATTTGCAAGAAAATTATAAAGACCTTAACAGACTGTTCGCACCCTCTTATCCTATCCAGCACATAAGTAGTAGTAGTAGTATAGGGTTTTACAGCGCTCGCAACTGCATAAGGTCATATGAGCGCGCGAAACACAAGTTAATTGTTTACTTTCGCAAAAGTTCACTGCACGATTGGTTAACTATTAGACTTTAAAATGCTAAAACATTAAAATTCGGTGTAAATATATTTTCAATTTAAAACAACTCTTATAAATAACCAAAATTTTAAATAGTACGATTTCACTTTACAATTTGCCATAAAGGCCAATGGCCTTCATAAAATTCAATATTCTGCTGGGAACAACGACGGAAAAAATGTCTTGCAATTTCTTGCATTTATAATATTTCCTTCGGATCTCTCCAAAGTCTAGACATTCGGTTAAGATGTGTCTAACGGTAAAATCTGTGTCGCATCCGACACAGAACGGCTTCTCATCTCCTTTTGTAGGAGGTATTTGTGGGTCAGGGCCGTGTGTCCGATGCGCAATCGAGTAAAAATGACTTCGTCTCTTCTGGAGACGTCCGAAGGGTTTCGCTGTTCTAGTTTGGGTTTTATAACATATAGTTTATTGTTTGTCTGTTTTTCCCAGTGGCTCTCCCACAGACTGGAGGTGTATTTTTTTACTTTATTTCTAAAGTCAGTCTGAGGGAGAGTGTTTGTCGTTGATCCCAGCAGAAGGGATGAGGCTTTCTTCGCCAGGTCGTGTACCTGCTCGTTAAATAAAAAGTGCATAGAGGTGAAATATGGAAATTGGTAACTTTTGCTACAAGCAACACATTGACAATATGAACACAGTAATTGCCATTTTCTGCTTACAGCAGCAAGGCAACAGAATGAAATAAGAGAAAGACAAGAAAGACTAACCAATTTGCAACAACCTCCCAAAACCCACTTACCGTTTATCAAAAAGATCAATGAGTCGAGACAGGGCCATCTTGTTGTCCTTAGCCTCCATGAGCAAAGCCACAGTGTCCGCCCTAGGAGGAAAAGAAGAGATAGCAGTTCAATTTAATAATCATCAAATACCAGTATGTCCTTTTTCTTAATTATAGGTGATTTTACACTCCCATCAACACAGTCTACATCATTTAGAAGGTTGGCTTTCGACCTTGCCTGTCAGAGCCAATCCAAGCTGAGAGGGATATTATATCCCAGTACAGGGCTGCCTACCTCAAAGTTTCCATTTCAGGTAGATTCCGGGTCCGTATCAGGTATTTTGGCCCAAAATCAGGTAGTACAAAGACAAAGAAGGAAAAAAAAGATGATCGTTGCCCCATCGAACGCGCTTGTTTTCTGTGATATTGGGTAATTATATTTTGAAAACTTGTTTGTGCATGCACATGCGTGTGTGTATCTGTGAGTGCACATGTGCATGCTCTTGTGTGAGTTTACATATGCGGGGGAGGGGAAGGGGGTGTTTGGGTGTGCACAATTTAAGATGAACAGTGCGTATGAAATGAGGCGAGGCTTTTTAAAAATCATTTATGGACTATCGTTCAAGGCACCTATCATTCAGTATTGAATCTGGAATTGAGTGCAGGGTGACTGCCAAACTGACTTCAAAACCGCTAGCCCATACCAATAGAAACTATATTAAAACATATTTACCGACACTAGCATAGGACACTGATAAGTCCTTTGTGACTTGCATATGTGACTTATTTTTAACTAGTTTTACCCTAAAAAAACAAAATGAATCCTGATCTGTGCCTAAGGAGAAGCAAGCAGAACAACAGCCAAAACCATGTTTGGTTTCAGCAATCACGCATTTTAAAAAGCATGCAAGACAAAACTTATTTATAAAACTTTTATAGTTAGGCTTACGACAGAGTAAAAAGTGAAAATAAAAGAGGGCGTGTACTGAGAGCCGGAGCTGGAAGGACTGAGAACGTGGGATGTAGTGATGCTGAAAACCTGGCAATCAGTGAATCACTGCATCATGGACAGAGTATTGATTTTTTTCAAAATTCTAAATCACAGTACCAGTTTTTAATCAGCAACAAGCCATCATGAAGCATAGGCATCCAACATAGAGCTTCCCGATGATTGAAAAAGGCATGTCCTCATTGCCACTATTCAATTTGTCATCACTGACTAATCCGAGAAATCTGGGAACATCAACCTTGAAGATACAATCATCAAGCCTGAGCTCTAATGTCCCCTCATTTACGAACTCCATTGTCGAATGTCAAAACCACTTCCATTTATCATTTTTATTTTAGCATCAGTTTCTTGCACAGCGGCCTTTTCCTGCTGCCGTAGATGTAGACTTAATTGCGTTAACACCCCCCCCCCCCCCCCCCCCCCCCATTCCAAAGCCCTTTGAATTAACTTTGAGTAGGCTTTCCCAAAAAACCACCGGCCGGTCCCTAACTCATGCCGTACTCACGAACTCCCACAGGTTCAATGACCGGTCACGATGACGGGCCCAACAATCTAGAAATCGTAGGACGCTTCGTTTTCTTTTTCTTCCTTTTTTTTTTGTCATTATAGAGACATCAGTGAGTGTGTAGTATAAGGTTTTACGGCCCTCGCAACTGCTAAGGTCATATGAGCGCGCGAAACACAAGTTGTTCACCTCTGCGAAAGTTCACTTCACGACTGGTAACTAATTTACTTTAAAATGCTAAAAAGTTAAAATATTCAAATTCGGTGTAAATACATTTGTGATCTAAAACAACCTTTAAGTAACATTAAAAATTTTTAATAATATCAGATTCACTTTACAACTCGCCATAAAGGCCAATGGGCTTTATAAAATTTAAAATTCTGCTGGGAACAACGACGGAGAAAATATCCTGCAATTTCTTGCATTTATAATATTTCCTTCGGATCTCTCCAAAGTCTAGACATTCTGTTAAAATGTGTCTAATGGTAAAATCTGTGTCGCATCCGACACAGAACGGTTTCTCCTCTCCCTGTAGGAGGTATTTGTGAGTCAGGGCCGTGTGTCCGATGCGCAATCGAGACATCAGTGAGAATATCGATTTAATTTGTATGACGACACTGGGTTTTTTTGCACTCTGCATGTTACAAATTTTAATTAACTGTAAATCTAACGTTAAACTATCGTCGGACAATTCTGAGTGGTGTCGAAAGCGAAAGCAGATTTTGATTTTTCCGACGGGGTTTCAGTATTACACCTATGCTCCCGACTACCGTCATGGCCGCTTATTCGCGTGAAACGTACTCTCGGATTCGGGAAAGCCGAACCTAATACCACAAATGCGACCAGTAAATTATGAACCCAGTAGCCTTTTCAGCTTTGCTTTCGAGGACTTTGTGCATTTTCTCGGGTCTAAGCCATTTTTTGGGTCAGATTCCCGGGCAATAAATCCCACAGTCCCCCTGCGAAGAATCCTCATTTGGTACAGACCAATTCTCTAGACCAAGACAGATTTTAGAATGTTTTGCTTCGATACCGATTTTCTTTCTACATTCACAATTCTGTTTTCTAGATAAATGAATTAAATGCACAGATTTTCCAGCCGCAGCAAAAACCCGAACATAGACAAAGAAAGAATGAATGAAAGGAAGGAGGAAGATTATCTATCGTGAGTAGACAGATTTTAGCCGATATGCACGTGAAAAACTATTGCCGACCGATCGGCACAGATAGACAATGGTCGAGAGTACGAAATGCGCAATCTGGCAGTTTCTAATAAAACATTGCCGAGAGTTGCCGTAAATATCTGACAAGTTACGGAGGTAAGTGCTGATTCCCCCCCCCACCCCCCCTCCCTCTCTCTCTCTCTCTCTCTTTAAATGCGGAAAGTAACGAAACTTTCGGAATGTACAGATTTCCCCAAAAACAAAGAAGAATGGTAGCAGGGTATAACGCATTTTTTTTTTCTTTTCCGTCTTTGGGTACCCATCGCAAATCCGGTAGTTTTGACACATCAGTATGGCGGTAGAACAGGCCCAAAATAGGTATCTACCAGAAAAATCAGTAGATTTAGGCAGCCCTGCCAGTAGAATGACAGAGATACTCAATAAAAATTTCTACCCACTTTGGAATCATTCTCAGGTCTCCTGCGTGCGACAGTAAAGTGCCTAACCACTACACCACAGATGAAGGGCGGTATGACCTTGAGGAAGACAATTAACCATAGCTAGCAAAGGGGGCAGACTGTCCACCAACCTTCAAAATGTTTCTCATATTTCCTGTTACCATTACGGGTGAGAAACAATCCAGTTTTGTTGTTATAATCAATCCATGGCGGTGAAACAATGTTTTTTCATCTACAACACGGTCCTTTCTGGATTTCTTCTAGTAAGGGCTTGAGGCCCCTTTCTACTCTTCAAGATTATTAGCCCTTACAGCACCAAGCTATTTTTAGCCCTCACTTCCCTCTGGCTCATGTATTACTATTCTCATCTGATCAAGCAGCCAGTATCTAGGCACAAACGTCACACTCAACTGCCTACCTGAGCGCTTCAGCCGGCGATTGCGAGCAGTCACTCTTGAATTGCACATTGATCCTCTTATATCCGATCTTCCTGCGATGGAACTGGGTGATGGCAAATCGAGCATCCTGCTCTGAGGGCAGACGGACAGTGGCAACTGATGTGTTGTCCGCCTGTAGTCGAACCTGGATGCTCAGAATCTGAGGGTTGCAAAGGGGAAGTGGGTTAGTTTTTTTGTTGCTCATTGATATCTTTGATAGTTTGGTCATGCATCCATTGCACCCGAGCTAAGAGTATATTCGTAGCTGTCGCGTGCTTCTGTCAACCGAGCTATGACAATAGTCGTAGTAAAATACCAGTCCACAAAATCAAGTCCGAACCACTTATTCAGGTTTCTATTGCAAAAAATAGGATGCTTGTAGCTTGTAAAAACTTTTGCTAGCTTGTTTTCATACAGTTTTTCGCCAAGTACGAGTTAGTTTTATTGTTTTGTCACCGCAAAAAAGCAAGCACTGAAACCTTCATGGACTAGAAAAAACAGCCACAAAAAACAAGTGCCACTGTTATTTTTGTGTGTGTTAAAATACATGAACCATGTTTTTAGTTTTGTTTTAGGCATAAGCGGCAAAGAAAGTGAAAGTAGATGTAAATCTAGTAGCCCAGGGCAAGATCGACTCTGGGATTGCTTCTTTCAAGTTCAAATGTGGACCAAAGAATCGATCTCGTTCAGACTCAAAGCTTCGAGTCTGCCCAGTCTCGATGCCTCCCGTCTCCTTTTTTTTAGCCTGGTTCCTAGCCTAGACTCAGAGAAATGAGGCAAGAATCTAAATCCCTACCGCACTACTACAGTCCTGTCGTGGGATAGGCCAAGGGCTGTCCTGTCCCACAGTCTAGTTTTTCGCTTCAAAACACCGCACCAGGACAGGACTGATCCATCGTATAAGGCGGCTTCTTTGATGCTGGCCTAGGCGGAGTTAAAAATGCATTTCAAAAATGTATTAAATATTGGCCAAATTTAAGAAATAAGATTTTCGTGATCAGCGACCCAAAATTAGCAAAAATTACATGTGGAGCGCAATTTAAAGCCCGATTACCAAGTTCAATTAATTTTTGTGAGTTTTGTTTACTCATGGGTTTTTTTCACTATTTGAATTTAGCGTGCACTTGGCCTAGATACATGTTGATTCAAGACTGTGTCTTCAAAGTGGACGAATCGAGTTTGCTGTGCTCTGTTGCTTCGTATTAGAAAAAAGAGAAAGAGAAAACAGTATTAGGTCATCCTGTCCCATCGATGTTGTAGCAATTCACAACTGCTCGGGACTAATTAAAAAATTAGACGGCTCCGTCCCAAGACGAACTGTCGTAGACCTAGTGCGGTAGGGGCCTCAGGCAAGAAACAGCCAGTCAGTCATTATCAATTATCTCACGCAACCCCCCCCCCACCCCACCCCACCCCACCTTCCTCTTCCCCTCTATGAGCCTAGGCCTACTTGTCGTGTCTACCGTGTAGCCCAGTACGAAACCACGCTGCACATAGGCAACTGCTACTTTGAATCTTGTTGCCCCACGCCCGCCCATCCCAAATTAAATCATTCACTTCCTTTTCCTCTTTCTTTTGTCTTGAACGTTTGCTTTTGAATTCCACTGCACTTTCATTTTCACTGTACACGTATTCTTTTGTATATCATACAGTGTGTTTTGAGTTGATATCAATGAGTCATGTTGGGACGTCGTTCTCTAGCCTGGAAAACACAGTTGTTTGTATGATTTGTAAAAATGTTTTGGCATACAATAACACAACGTCGACAATAACAAAACATTTGTTATCAAAGCATGTTTTGACATATCAGGAAGCAAAGGATGCAAGTGAGATGGAGCCTGTGTCCCACGTATTGGCAAGAGTGATAGAAGGGAGGCAACCCTATAAGCATACCTACAACACTCAAAACACACACATATACACATACACACACACACACACACCCACACACACACTCACACACACACACACACACACACCCACACCCACACACACACCCACACACAAATGCGTGAAAGTCAACTTGTCTTTGCACGCGCGCAGGCTTAGCCAGCCATGTCTTTCAAACTCGAGACTCAAGGCCCCTGAGTCTAAAAGCTATTTTTAGCCGTGTTCAAGTCATGGCATCTAAACAGCTAGGCCCACTTGAACCAGCTTCCAAACTCGAAAATCGGACTCCATTCTTTTTCAGTTTTGAAATCGAGGCCTCGAGTCTTTTTGCCGCCGATCTTGCCCTAGCCTAAAATCTAGAAAAACAAGGTGATCGGATTGATTTTAGTGTCTTGAAAACTTCAAAGAAAAGCTAGACTGGACCATAGATTGCCCTTGCCCAGAAACGGCAGCCATCTTGAAAATTGGATATACTTTTTTTTCCCCACCATCTCTTCAGTTTTTAACTTTTTTTCAAATTCTGTAACTTGCAAAACGTCACAAATAAATAGGTGCGATCAGCTGGCTATTTTGACTTTTGATACCATACTTAGAAAGTATCCAAAATTGTTCTCAAAGTTGGGGATATGGAATTTGATCTTTAAAAAATATTTACGTCATGAACAAAAATGGTAAAAAAAATTCTTTAAAGCAATATGTTAAAAACTAACCAGCCCACTACAAGCACATACCATTTCTCTAACTACATGCCCAAAAAAAGTCTCTTTGTAGAAAAAAATTTCAAACGTCGGGGGGGGGGGACATATGCAAGCAAAAAGTGGTGAAAAAGAGTGTTTTGAGAAAAACACGGTTTATTTGTTTTTGTTTTAGTAGAGGTTTTTCGGCACTCGCAACAGCAAAAGGTCATTTGAGCGCCAGAAGATTCGAGCTGTTACAAGAGAGTAACAAACATAAAAAAGAAGAAGGGGAGATAAGGACGATAGATGATAAGAAAGAAGAAGCAAACTACACCAGAGCAAAAAGTACACAAGGTAGAAACCAATAAAATTGTATTCTGTTAATGTTAACCTTTCGCCGTCATCGCTAACCCCCGTAGTCGCCGATGTGCGCCGACACGCCCACCTGATTCACCCGTTTGCACTACTTTCGTTTCTACCTTGTCTCGCTCCCTGGGAGGTCGCACGAGATTGCCGAGCTTATAGCGAGAATCTAGAGTGGTTGCCCTTTACTGTCGTGTTTATTTGGTGAAAATCGATGGAAGCACGCGAGAGCGGAGATTTTTTAATTTCGCGCTTTTTAGAGACCTAAATCTAACTTCGTGGACGAAATTTTGCGTCGCTACAGGCACGGTATACGATGGAGGCACTTATAATTGGGATTTAAGTGCCGATATCGTCGACCAAGGGGCTAGATCTAGTGCTAGTACTACAAGTAGTCACTCGGACTAGGACACTCAGTCGTGAGAGATAGAGAGCGAGAACTATAGATTTCTAGATCTAGTAGGAGAGCGAACACGAAGTCACAGGTCTAGATCTAGGCTCTGGGGGAGGGGAACAACTATGATAGTGATGTTGATGGTGAGATCGTTGCTGGAGGTGATGATTTAGAAGACTCTGATGAAGAAGATAGGCCTAGCACTGACAGCACTTTAGCTAGATCTAGTAATACTAGCTCTACTACTACGTAAAAAAGGGAGAAGCAACACTGGGACTGTGGGCGCTGTCACAACAAATCCTTTTGAGCACGTTGTGATCAGGATACATGGTAAAAAGGGGTCATGCTACTACTGTGTAAAGACCAGAAACGTTACAAAGCTTGGCAGAGGGAGTGAGACAGTGACAGGATGCTATTTGGGCCAGGTTAGGCTTTGCAAAAGACTGCTCGGTAAAACATCATGAACTTCTGTAAGCATAAAAAGCGGGTTGTGTCTTTTGGGGGATTTTTTTCACTTCAGAATTTTTTTTACCCAATACACAATGATTTTTCATACAAAACCATACATTTTCATGAAGTTTATTCATATATCTGTGCTCTGACACCTAAACTGTAATTTTAGACTCATCCTCTGATTTTTAATGATTTTTTAAAATAATATAGTCATACAGTCTAAGCGGAGTCCCTTTTGCCAGAATTTCAGCCTTGTTGGACAGGGATAGCTCTGAGGGTGAAAGGGTTAATCACTCAGCGACTAGTGTCAATTTAATCGAAACTGAATTAGGGATAGGAAAAAGTAAAAAGTGCTCAGAGTGAGTGAAAATCAGTCCCCGAGGTCCTACATCCGATCCGCGAGCCCCCTTAATTCTTATCCTGCGTCTGTGCCCAGATGCGTATCTTACCAGCAACCGATTACGTCGGACGTGCCGGGGTCACTCAGCGTACTGTTGGTGTACAGCACGCGCGTCGGGAAACGTGTGTTTTCGCCATGAATACCGCGGGAGTGTGTTAACCGATGAAGAAAATAACGCTTTATCTTTCATAGCTTTCTATTTATAAAGTGTTACAAACACATGAATAACCCCCTCTCACAAGCTGATAAGACATTACGAGTAGTTACGCCCATTCGAATAACCTTTCTGGACGCTCTTGTTATGAATGACCAGAGGTTTGAAAGGGGATAATTTAGGTCAATTTCCTAATGTTTTACACTCAAAGTGTTCTTTGTACCTGTACAATGGTATTCAAAACTAGCAAACTAGCTTATTTTTTATCAGGTAGTATCATTTCATACAAAAATCAAGCTCATTTGAAATATTTTGTATAGAAAAATGGAAGTCTTGTTTCCTGACTATCCTTTCGAGCTCCTCATATCTAAGTGGGTCAATTTCTTCTATAATTTCATTGGACGAACATCTAGAGCTACCAACTTGGCATGTTTTGAATGAGACGTATGCCTCGATTACGAACCAATGCAGGCGGTTCTAGAAGAAGGCCACAAACGCACACACACTTGACCTGCGTGAATGGGGATGCGACTCGGGACACGAATGACACGTAATAGGATGCGCGCTGCGCGTGCGCTGAGCCAGGGGCTACACTGATTCGGGACCAGAACGTAGGCGAGGTGCCGAAATAGGCTTATCGGGCAACATAAACCTGGCTCCTGCAAGATGAGGGTTAATAGCAAGCAAGCGGGCAGAAGACTTACCGAATTAAATAAATTATATATTTGAGCTGTCTCTACAATTCAGAATGGGTTGTACACGACTGATTTAATAATTTAAAGAATGGCCTTAATTTGACACAATACAAGGCAGATAACAACTCTGGACAATATAAGGACCATATGAACAGTGGAAATAATGCTGTGCATACACATCCCCTGGGCCAAAATTCTGCATTGTCATTTAATTAAGGGTAGTAAAGACTAACAAGTCTAATTAAATGTTCACCCACTTTAACATGGGGATGGAAAGTAGCATAGATGATCTTCCTCCATTCACGAGGGTGGATGTTGTAGTCGAGATTGGAAACCACCAGTTCCACAAACGGGTCCAACTTGGGGTTGAAGTCTGGATGGCTGAAGTCAGCAGCCGGGTCCCCCATATCATTTGGGGTTGGAACTCTGTACAGGTTACTGCCGTGAGGCTTGGCCTAGAAATCCAAGAGAGAGAGGAACATAACGAAAGAGTCCACAACGGGCACATAATAATAAAAATGATAATACTAAAAATAATAACTTAAGTAGACCCTAATCCCAAGAGGCCTCTCAGCATTGTACAATGCAGAATTATCACTCAACTGACAAATCAAACGACAGAAAATGAACACTGTGAGACCATTTGACAACAGCTATACAACACATGCACACAATCATACCACATGCGCATGCACAACTCCAAGACCCGAACACATTCTCACAAATAATTTTCCATTCCAAATTTGTTAAATGTTTCAATCCAAGAGAAGCTGTTATAGCCACTGTCAGGATGTAACAGGTGAACTTCAGCTACATTTTGCAAGGAAACAGATCAGGATCATAGAGACATTGTAAATAAAGATGAGTCAGTATCACCAGAACTAGAACTTCCTCTTACCACTGACATACTGACATGTAATGTCTTGCATGCATATAATAAGCTTTCTTTGGTCATTCCTTCTCTTACCTCTTCCATTGACGGAGATTTAAAAAAGGATTTACTGAAAAACTTGCCTTCAGAATCATAGTTGAGCAGCAAATTAATTATTCGAAATCAGAATCAGGGGTATCACAACCCTATTTTTCTAAAATTGTAAAAATCATACCGATTCTGTCAAACTCAATGTAGGCACCCTTGAATTATCTAGTCCATCTTAAATTCTACAGCTGGTACGACCCCTCTTCTTACCTTCAGTCTGTTGACCGAATGAGCCAGTGGGGATAGGGCACGCCCAGTAGGGGACGATGACACTCGACTCGAACTGACAGGGTTTGAAGCCAGCCTGGGCCGGAAAGTTTGCCTGGACGAGTTCCCTTGTGTTGGGCTGTACGACCTACAAAAAACAGCATGTTGCAGGATGAATGCTGTCTTAGCCTAAAGAGGCTAAAATCAAGTTGAGGTATATTCAATAATAGAATTTATAAAACCATACTAAGTGAGAGTAGGTGGTGGGGTTGATTTTATAGCATCGTTCAAGTTTTCAATCACAAATTATTTTTTTGGGGTTGAGTAAAGAGAAGCACATTGACACAATAACAGTTATTTATTGCAAGGCAAAAACAAGACTGATAAACAGGACCAAAAGATGGAAGATAAAGAAGTGTGAGTAGCACCCTCCGACATTACAGACAGCAAGATTTATGCTTTTTAACTTCTTCACTGCTGTGTCTAGGTATATACTCGCCTGTGCTATAAAAAAAAAGGCTCTTTGTGAGGGAAGTTTTTAGCAGATGAATTATAGCTAGTGCAGTTGTTTGTTCTAAAAATCCAGGTACGACATTATGGCTTTATCTAAATCTCTATGGAATGAACAATTTGTGTTATGTGTACAAACATAAAATGGAAAAAGAAAATTATCAGCTCCTCACCGCTCTTCCCCATCAGAGGACACACTGTGCCGCATGTCACGGCTTCTCTGCGAGGCAGGACTTGGCCTTCGGGGACTGTACCCCGAGTTGTTCGGATGTCTGGAGGAGTACCAAATTTATAAATGTAGAGCAAAAATGTGATATTCTGTTAATCTAAAATGTGGTAAAAGACACTTTTTGTAATAGTTTACCACAACCTTGTGAAAACATCAAGCCCAATAACCATCTTTAGAAGGACAATATGGGCTGTTTGCAGGAATGGAACGGAACATTTTGTGTCATTAAAAAATTGAATATGTTGGTTGATAGACCTGATATGTGGTTCTAGAAAGAAATGGGGAATGTCAGCGACATCACTCATGTCAGACAACTCACTCAAAACCATTGCCAGTTGTATGTTATGAATTAACTTGACTGCTTCTTAGTGAAAACCAGCGCATGTACGGAGTTGCAAATTTTAAAATGTTTACCCCACCAAAAAAGGGACTTTCCCGAATAGTTCCACCCCAGTGAATGTTTCATAACATTTTGTACAAAGGGTTCCAGAAATATAAGTCCCTAAATCTTTTAAAACATTCCACAAGAAAATTACTAAAACAACAATCAACGGTCCTCCCAATCGAATATGCTGAATAGATAACAGCAGGACTGTCTACTAAAGAACCTGTAGTATTCATGTTAAAGTAAACAGTGGACACACAAAAAGTTTCCAAGTACAAATGTGAGGCAGCGTGGTGAAATCAGGCACTCGTCAAAATAAGGAAATCAGAGAAACAGACATTTTCCTCCAGTTTGGATATTTATATCGAATTTTTATTTTTTGTCTTAACCTCTTTTATTTCCATATTTTAAAAAAGCATTTCCACGAGAATTTTACTGAAAAACATTGATTAAAGGCACAAAATAAGTCAATTTTCAGTTTTGAAGGGCTCTTTACCAAACTTTGGCGCTAATTTCACCACTGAAACCAGGCCACCTCATTTCCTTCTATCGGAAATATTTTGACTTCTACTTAAGACATTTTGATATTTATTTCATTAGAAGCAAGGCAAATGAAACAGCTTTCTGATGATACCAATAGCTCCAAATACCCAAAGCTTGACAAGCGCCTGATTCCACCACGTCGTACCACAAATATCATTTTATGATTGATTGATTGATTGGGTAGATGTTTTACGGCACTATCGACACAATTTTGGTCATTTAAGCGCCAACAGCTTTCACCGCTACAAAATCAGACGTGTTTTTAGTAAGAGTCTTTCGGAGCTCGCAACCGCACACGATCACACTATTTTCATTATGCTAAAAAGACAAACAAACATTTATAAAAAAATTTTGTAAATATGGAAAAGGCTTATTTACATTTGTGATGCAGCGTGGTGGAATCAGGCTCTCGTCAATTTTTGGGCATGTAGAGTTATTGGTATCATATTAAAGCTTGTTCATTTGTCTTTATTTGGATGAAAAAAATATCCAGTTACCTTGAATATAAGTCGAGATATTTGCAAAAGAAGAAAGTGGGGGTCACGTGTTTTCAGAGGTAAAATTAGTGAGAAAATGGCCGCCAAAGATTAGTTATTTCCTTAGCTTAAGAGTCCATGGTAACTGAAAGTTTACATTCTCTGTGCCTTTAATCAACGTTTGTCAGAAAAATCCACACAGAAATGAGCTCTTTAATGGGCATGAAAGGTTTGAGCCAAAAAAATAAAATTGATAAAAATTCACAAACCTGCAGAAAAATGCAAGTTTCTTCACTTTGATTATTTTGACGAGAGCGTGATTCCACCACGCTGCCTCACATTTGTATATACAATATTAATTTCAGTGTATGAATATGTACATCGATAACGATAACCATATATTTTCATATTCTATTAAATAGTCCAATTTCTTTTATATAACTCAAAATTTTTCTAGGGTCTACGATGTCAAAAAGGGTCTTAATATCTTTACATTTAAAATATTTCTCACGAACATAATTAAATTCGACACATTCCGTTAGGATGTGCCGAACTGTGAAATTTGTGTTGCACGCCACGCAAAAAGGAGCTTCCTTTCCTTCAAGTAAATGTTTGTGCATGACGTGTGTGTGTCTTATTTTTAGTCTGGTAAAAATTACTTTTTCTCTTCATAGGAGAGATAGTGGTTTCCTGGGCGCAAGTTTCGGTTGATTGTAAAGGAGTTTGTTGTGTATTTGCTGATTCCAAATTTGGGACCAGGAGGATGTGATGTGTTCTTTTACTTTCGGTTTCATGTCAGAGAAAGGGATTTTACTATTTTTGTTTTCAGGTAGTTTTAGAGATTCTTTGGCAAATTCGTCAACGGCTTCGTTGCCATCAATGCCTACATGGCTTGGAAACCAAGCTATTGTAATAGTTTTTCCAGACTGATGTAGAAAATGCAATTTAATTATAAGTCTTAAAATTCTGTTGTCGGAGGTGTCAGAGCGCTCTAAAGATTTCAGACAAGAGAGAGAGTCTGAAAGGATTAGGAAAGTAGACTTGGTTGATTGATCTATAATATTTAGGGCCATTTCAAGAGCTGTAGCCTCAGCAGTGTAGACTGAAGTTTCTGGGTGGTTTTTCCTTAAGCTTAAGCTGTGTGGCGATGCAAGGGCAGCAGCTCCTACTGAGGAGTCATTTTTGGATCCGTCTGTAAAGAGTTTCTCTGCATCAGGGTATCTATTTATTAGCTGTTAGTATGAGTTTAAATATCATTTTATTAATCTCTTCTATTTACATGAAACAAATATAAAGGAACCATTTATTTTTTTTATGCAGGTGGGTTTTTGGGCTCCTCTGAAACAATTTAGATAAGGAATCTGAAAGCATCAAAACATTTTTTAAAAACCTAATCTGTTTATTTTATTTTTGTAAAGTGTTTTACGGCGCTCGCAACTGCATAAGGTCATATGAGCGCACGGGACACACCTAATATTTTCAGTCGGTAGGAAATTTTTGAATTTTGCTCGGGTGGCGGCCGAAGCCTACTCTTATCGATTTTAGACCACCAACGGATCTTTAACGTGCGCAACTTGCACACGGGCCCTCCGAGATTTTTCGCCCTTGTCCGAGAAGGCTAGGTGTAGATCTTTCCTACCAGAAGATCAGGGGTGTGGCAGAAAGACAGCAGTAAGGAGGAGCCAAGGCGTAACAGTAGAAAGGCTGCAGAAAGAGTAAGGAGCCCAGAGGAGGGGGCAAAGAAGGTGAGGGGGTGGGGGCAGAAAGTGGAAATGAAAGTAGACAACAGAACATTGCTAGAGAGCAGGAAAGGAGGTGAAAGGAGACAATTTTAGAGAAGAAAATTTTTTGGTCGTTACCCTGGTTCGAACCCAGGACCTTTGAATGAGAGGCCAACACCTTAACCTCTGGGCCACGAGAGCCCCCCTAATCTGTGGAAATACTTAAAGCAGCACATAAACCTTAATCATTCGAGTGTTGAAAACTACAGTAAATGAGAGTTACACCCCCCTATTCAGACTATTCACAGGGCTCCCAGTGAAAAATTTTCCCAACTCCTGAACTTTGTCGGAGGATCGCGATAGACGCAAAAATGTGCACAAGTAGGCCTACAAACATTGCAAAAGGAAGAGCAAGAAAACGAGCACTGAAAGGATCCATGTAAACAAATAAAACATGTTTGGGAAAAGAAAATGTTGCCAGATACATGTATTCGCATAAATTGTGAAAGTCAACCGATTTTGATAAAAACCGGAAAGGCAAAGTAAGTAGTAGTTATGAACAGGAAGTAAAGGTGGGCGGTTAGTGCCAAACTGGCATACATCGCTCTATTATTATGTTCTCCAAATTTTCGCATTTTTTCTCGGAGAAGATAATTATGAAACCCGTGCAGACGCGAAGAGCGACGGAAACATGACCGCGCGATGCTCAGCGATTCCGCTGCCGTTGATCTCAGCCCCGGACTTTCTCCGAATCGCGAACCCCAGAAATTCGCGGAAGTCTGAGAGCCCTGTATTCAGTAATATTTCCCCAGAGTACAGCTTGCACAGTGACTTACTTTGCTGGCTGCCTGTGAGGTGAGGCTGGCTTCTTGAACACTGAGTTACCCTGAGATTGACTACGACTAGCGCTGGGAGGGGGATAGCCATGCATGATACAGATCTCGTCATCCGCCGAGAGCTGATGGTGGTTTCCAGACGGTGCAGGAGCACCTCCCGGTGCGGGACCGTACGTGGGCACTGACGGCACAGACTGCCCTCGAGGCTTGAAGCTCGGATAGGATGAATGCTGCGGCGGCTGTCCGGTGAAGACAGGGCCCTGAGGGACTGGGACGGCTGAGCTGGGGATGTGACCAACCGGTCCCTTTGGTGCTCCAGGGGGCAGGTACAGTCGACCGGCAGAGTGGGGGCGGTATGTCTGGGGTTGTCGATTGTCCTCTGTCACATCCTCATCTGCTGTGAGTGATGGCACTACAGAAGTACTCGACTTACCTATGGCACGAAGACTGTCCATTGAAGCCGTTTCCACCAACTGAAATGAGAAACAATTAACACCATCATCCGAATAATGATTTTTCTTCTTTTTTTTTTATCCAAAAAATTAGGCTTTAACAAAATTGGAAAAGCAAAAAGGTATAGGTCAACAACATGCCAGGAAAATGGCCACAAGTCAGATTTGGGCCAACATCAAAGTGACTGCCATGGCATTCTTTATACAACAGCCTACCTTCTCGTATAGTGTAAATCCTCTAACAAATTTCCAAGTAATTTTTTAAAAATTGCATCACCAGTTAAGAAAAGATATGAATTTTGAATGATTTCCCATATTATTCAAAACTGCAAGTGACATAGGCCACTACAGAAGCACTTTGGTATATTGCCCTCAAAAAAATTCTCACTTTGATGGGATCAAATACGTTGGCCCTGGGATCCAAATCAGAATTTGTCTTACTGCTCCCCGGAGCTACAGAGCCTGCAGCTGCAGTGCTGGTTGAGGAGGTAGGAGGCAGGGACGGAGGGGGGATATCGCGGAAGCCAAAGGAAGGGATAGGAATGTCAGCCAAGCTCTTCCCGCTGTCTGTGGGTTTGAAAACAGTAATGGTCCCAGACTGGCCACTTGCAGCACCACTCAAGTCCCCTATCACATAGGACTTAGACGTCGAGCTGTCCGGCATTCCAGGGATGGATGCTCTATTATCCGTGTGCTGATGCTGAGGCTGAGGGTCGGATGAAGGGCTTGACTTGTGGTAGTACCTGAGAAATGTATTTCAGTCAGCGTTTAAAACATTTTGCAAATTCATCCACACAAAATGACTAGTTTCAGTTAGAGCAGAAAACAGCAACACCAAAGTAACAAATCAGTTCCATATGGGAGTCCTATGTGCCTCGGCTCACAACTGACCATGCGTTGCCTTTACCCTTTTGCACATCACATGCAAAATCTAGCAAGTCACCCTAAGGGAAGTCACAAGCAGCAGGTTCTGAAGGCTCAGGGGAACAGGTCTCAAAAGGTTAATCATGTGAGCGTTAATTTTAATGAATAATTATGTTTTCTTGTAAAAAGAAAGAAAGTTAATATGATATGACGCACTAGGGAAATATCCATTTTGACCTCTGAATATAATGTATGCTAGTATGCATTCTTTCAAACCCAGAGAGGTTGCACCTCAAGTTTCACTAATCTAAAACAAAAGGCTCAAAATTCATGCAAACAAAAGTTTTGGCATCTGATCTACAATTCTTTTATTTTATTTAGTACGGGTTTTACGGCGCTCGCAACAATTCTTTATAAAAAACTTCCCAGTTTTCCTAAACATGAAGGACATTTTTAAAATTCCTAAAGGTCAACTATGTTTTACACCCACAATTAGTATCAATTCCATCATGACCTTACCATGAAGCAGCGACAAATGACAACTGAAAAATTGAGTTATAGTTTACAGCAAGCCAAAAAAGTTTTTACAGCCTCAGATAGGAAAAGATAGATTGACTATTTGGTGTAAAAGAAGAACATTAACGTCCATTTACTACAAGTTAGAAGTAAGACAGCAGACACACACAGCAGAGAGACAGGAAAGAAAAGAAGTTGCACCCTCCAATCACCTTCACTTCAAAAACATGGATGTGAGCCCCTCTTTACATTTCCAATTATATACTTTGCATAAAATACTATATACACTGCAACGAGAAAGCTGCCCTCATATGAATGCTCAATAAATGCCAATTATGACAGCAAAATAAAAATTAACAGCTCTATTACCAAAAAATGCTAAAGGAGGGCACTTACTTCTCTGAATTGGAATTAGGAAGTGTATACGTATGGCCTGGGCTCAAACCCTGCCCTGTTGGCTTGGAATAGCTAGGAGTGCCCACTGGTTGTTTCACTGGCCCTCCCGGTGTCTTGTAAGCCTTGCTGCTCCACTCGGCCTGTGGTGGCACAAACGCAAAGTCTCCCATGCTTTGTGCGTTCTGCAAAACCAAATGAAAAATGAAGTATTTGGTTTTATCAGAATACAAAACTCCACAAACTCCTCATTTAACTTCGCTACGGCAAGCCACCCCCAACGGCTCGAGAACCGACCCATAAATCTAGCTTAGATTTTATTTCAATCCACATATCCAAGTTAAAGGTTATAATATAGCATTGACTTCCGGGTCAAGCGTTTTCAAAGAAAATCGGAAGTTTTGATTCAGTTCTGAAACACAATTTCGAAGTTTATACGACTTTGTTGTATCACGATGCCCAAATTATAGCCCAAATACCAGTCTTAGTACTATTAACACAACAAAATGTATCATTATTGTGCTTACTAAAGAAATGTACGACTCTTCTTAAGAAAATTGATACTATTGGACTCTTGCCATTGCTCCTATTATTGAGAAATAGTATTTTTCAGTGCTTGATCTTGATCTAGATCTAAATTGTCAAAATATTTTTTCTCCCCAAAATCAGTATTTTTTGGTGAAATTACACAAAAAGTACCAATCAAGACATGTGTCTGAATAATTCCATATAAGATAGTGTTTTTTTCTGTTTGTGAATGTTCTTTGTCCTTTTTTCAAGATTATAAAAAAATTAATTTTTCAATATCGGATGTTATGATTCAAATGTACAAATTTTATGGAATATATGTAAATAACAGCAAATCTTTCAATACGGTCAAACCTGCCCTGACGGCCACCTGTACAAACGGCCACTTTCCATTTCCCCCCTTAGGTTTTTTCTATACAATTTAACTATGAAAAACGGGCACCTGTCCAACGCGGTCGCGGCCACCATATTTTAACACACAACCCCTATCACACTAGCAATAACACCTGTGTTAGACGGCCACCTTAGTGACTCCATTCATCATCATCCGGTGCCTTGCCGACTCCATTACGCTTTGTCATAAATTGTGCATTGGCCCCTGGCGTTGTGGGCAAGCCATCATAATTCAATCACCTGTCGTTGTTGTTAGGTAGTCCCTCCAACCGATCATGTTGCGTCCCTCCCACTGTTGACTAATAGCTACCAATTTTCAGCTGCTGGTGAGGTAAGCCTGTGATCCCTCATAACCCATAAGCCCCGCCCAGATCTCATACACAAATCGTAAGTGAGTTGAGTGGTCACTGTTTACCCAGTCAGTAACAAAGTAACAAAGGGCGTCAACATGAACTTGTGACAGAAGCGTCGCTCGTTCTCCGAGTGGTGGCGACCCATGTGTTTGTTTTAACATGGCACTCGGTCTTCCTCGTCTGATACATTTCGTGTTATTGTCACCCTTGTGCAAAATCAGCAACAAAATTAATATTACAAACAAAATACAAACCAACAACAACAAAAACAACAACAAGGCGGCTGCTTTCGATTGGGACCTCAGATGGGAATGGTTTGTTTTCTTCATCTTGATCAGTCCTGCCTAAGACGGCCACCTGTCTTATACGGCCACCTTTCTCCTTGACAATGGGTGGCCGTCTTACACAGGTTTGACTGTATTTTCAAGTTCTATATTCATTTATGCTTATTTTGATGTATCATTTGACTAGGTGCAAACATATTTTTTGAGTTACGCCAAAGATGATTAATTTTTATTTTTTTATATTATCCGCATCCAAGCAAAAGAGTGTTGCATAATCGCCTCTAACAGGAACCAAAGTTGAAAAATACACAAAATAAACATAACAGATGTATTCTACAAATACTACAAATTTCTGTGTATAATACGTTGATATTTATTTGAATTTGTGGCCCCAAAGACCTTTGAACTGCGCACTAATCATCATCTCATTTCGCCTTTCCGAAAAAAATTTGTCCACAAGCCCAAAATAATACGTAGCGAATGAGTTTTAAAAAGTGCAAAATTGTATACGTTTAAGGCCTATTACAACACTGTAAGGTTATTTAAAAGGCTGGACCTGCTACTTTAACATCCATCTCTGGTAGGACCAAGCCATAAAAAGTGCCTTTCCCAAAGATACAACAAAGGACTGAACTGAGCCTCGACTTCCCAAACCCACAGTCTCCAGATTATGAGTTTGGTACTTTAGTCACAAGACTACCAATGCCACTATCTTGAAAGAAGCACACTAGGTGTGGAGGTCTCAAAAAATAGCAGGACAATGCAAAATACAGCGCTTTTCTCAAGAAAATTATGAAGAACATACAATAATTACTTCTGCAGGTTTTTAATCCAGAATAATTTTTTGTCCTATAAATATTAAAAAACCAATATCTGAATCTGTTGATTCTCCACTTAGTAGAGAAGACTCACTCACCACATCAGAATAGCTATAGCGCTGAGGCTGTGGCTGGTGGTAATTGCTATAGCCAGAATAATGATAGTTGTTGTTGTTGCCGTAGTTATTGTAGCCCTGACCATAGTGTCCCTCGTAGCCATCCGGGGTGTAGCTGCGGTTACTGTTGCGTCGCTCTCGCGGTGACCGTCTCTGGGGGGAAGGACTTTCCTGCCGCCGAGACAAGTGCGAGACTGTCAGTTCTGTAAGGAACAGAAAAAGAATACTTCACTCCAAGACCTTCAATAAATACTTTCATCAATATTTTAACTGGCGTATGTGGTAGTGCAGCCATTTTGCTATGACATGCAAGAGGCATGAGTTTAATTTCCAAGAGAGTAGAACTTTGATCAAGTATTTCTCTCTTCCTTGCATCCCTCTTACTCCGGGGTGGGGCTTCTACAATTACATATACAATGTTGTCTGGCTAATAGCATTCCAGGTAGGAAGCACGATCCGCCGTAAAGCAGGCTGGCAGCATGGAACTGAATTTTTCATGTATAATTATCACTCGTAAGTGCATATTCCAAATCAGCAACTCGTCTTACAATAATGTACCTGTGCTTGTGTCAGAAATGGATCGGCCATAAAAAAGGCCTATATCTCTAGGAACTGTTCAAGCAAAGCAAACAAATCCTCCATTATTTGAAATTACCGTTTTGCCAGAGAGAAAAAAACTGACATGGTGTGTGGTAGAATTGTGCGACCAGGACAGCCTGTGTCCAACCATACATCATGGTGGGCTGACATGAGAGGGCTACGTTGTAATTATGAATGGTCGTCATCTGTGATCGGTCGGAGAAGGAAAACACCTCAGGGTGAGCTCAGCTCAATGATACAACCCACCACAGGAGATCAGATGCGAGGTGGTTAACAACAGTTGATAAAATTCGACAAAATTAAGGATTACCTCCCATCATATTTTATTAGATGGAATGTTCCAATAAGAGCACGCTTTCATTGTCACCCAAAGTGCATAATATTAACCGGTGACCACTGTACCAATATTTTGAATAAGACAATAAGCACACTCACTTTTCACAGTATTGTAGAACGGAGTCTCTTCTGGCAATGAAACAGTGATCTTCCTGCCATACACATCTTCTCCTGTCATTCGTTTCTTTGCCCTGAAAGACAAAAGATACATTGTTGTTTGACCTATAAGAACACATTCTCCAAAAAAAACCAGCACTGGCAGACCAGGTCAAGTCAAGCGAAGCCGGATATTTTTCAAATTACTATATTGTCACATTAAAAAGTCTCGGTCATATGCAGCAATGTGTCACAAACACACAGGAAGGTACAAGGTAGAATATGCTCAAAAGCCCAACCTCAGTGACAGGTGGGATATTAACTTTGACTACAAAAGACGAAAGGGTTTTTAAAAAGCACTGTATACTGTACATGAAAGACGTTGGAGGGTACTAAGTCAAAGAAAAAGCTGGTTTATTCAAGTCAACGGTCGCCAAGTAAATGTAATCCCAACTTAGACTTAGACTTAATAACAGACAGAGCTGGTTGTAACGGAGTACAAGTACCGGACGTTACAATTTTCGGTACTTTTACTGTACTCCGGTACATTTTGAGAACCAGTACTTTTACTGTACTCCGATACTTTTTATAAAAGTACTTTTGAGTACTTTTCAAGTACATTTTGAGTACTTTTGAAGCTTAATGAAAGAATAAGTGCCGACATTTCCGATCATAATTTACTAAACAAACACCCGGGCGGGCACAGCCGATCAACCAAGAGTTAAAAGTTGAGATTAAAAAACTGCCCGACACGTCAAAGATCAGCCATTCTTGTGAAAGTGATCACCTGCGCTGTAAAACTCCATGAAACGGTACAATGATCCCCACACGGGATCACACCGAGGTGTGAACAGACAGATGGGCGTTTCTTTTCCCCAAACATTGCACTCGCATCTGAGCTCGCCACCTGAACTTTCATCCCTCGCTGGGTGGGTTGGGCCTACAAGTTCGCTCCAGGCAGGATCACATCGAACTGTGAACTCTTCCCTGACCATTGAAGTTGAAGGCAGTTTTTCTCTATTCCCGAAGGTGCGAGACAGCCTGAATTTTAATTGGTGTGGTCACAGCGTAATGGTACATAACAACAAAGGCGGGGGGACTCAATCAGAGATGGAAGGCTACAATTTTTGGACATGTAAAGGGGAGGGGCAACTGGATAAAATGTAGATAAAGATCTCGAGACGATATGCTAATGAGTGTACGGTATAATATTATGGCTTGCCTCATGCCACCATGCTACTGTGATTGGTCATCAAGGATGACCACTCTTTGCTCGCCATATGTCATAAACCTACCCAGGGGTCACGTCAGTTCTTGGGTCACTGTAGATTCTTCCTTAGCTTCGTCGGGCTAAGATCCCATATTTCCCTTGCTCCCGAGCACTGGGATCTTAGGCGGAGACTACTGTAGTAGAGAATTTTTGGTTACACTACACTTACTAGACTCTAGGAAATTACATGTAGGCCTATTTTGGTTTGCCGTGGGCGCTGTGGACTACACAGTGTGACCAAACTCTGTCTTACCACTATTATAATCAATTGAAACTGAAACTGAGTTCTCAATGTATATCATTCTAATAATTTTTTAGGCTACCTTAATTTCTTTTATCCTTTTTTTGGTGGTTTGTCCTTAAGGCTACCTTGATTTTTTGCGGATTTGTTAAAGAAGAATTCAAAGCACTTTTTTTTGCTGGCCATTTTCATCATTTCTTTATTTTCTTAGATCAACTTTGTCTCTACATTTTCCAATTTTGATACTTTTCCTACTTTCCGACCTCTAGGACTGACTTACATTAGATAACATTGTCTTGCTCAAACAAATTCTATTCATAATATCACTTACTCAATAGTTGCGTCTGTTTGTTTGCTGGGGTTTTTTTTCAATTTCACGGACAATTTCCACCTACGTTCAGTGCGTATATTAAAATGCTTTGTATACTGTTTACATTATTAGTAATAAATGGCCAAATTTGTCAAATATACTAGATATGTTATTCAATATGATGTTTTGCATTTTGAAGTGTTTTAGCATATTAGCAGAAAGGACTCAAAATGTACTCATAAGTACTTTTTTGAAAAGTACTTGTACTCAAGTACATTTTACAGGAAAGTACTTTTACTGTTCTTAAGTACATATTTTAGATTGTACTTAAATTTGTACTTAAGTACCTTTTTAAAAGTACTTTAAAAGCTCTGATAACAGTTGCACATTGAGTGCCTTTGAAAATGGACAACTGCCACCTTAAAGTTATAAAAGGGAACGACCCGTATATTAGGTAGTGAAAGAAACAGCACAAGCATAGTATCAGTTGCACTACTGAGTTGGAAAAAAAAAACCACCCTGCAGTAAACATACAAGAAACTCCAGTACTAGATCTTGAATCTAGATGTTGGGCAAGGTAAGCATAAGGCTGGGACTAACGACAGGAAACATTTTACTCTCCCATTTACATGATTTACATAATTTTCGTGGGTGGTTTCTTTGACTCTGACTGTCAGAGCCAATATGCACTCTAGGAATCATTCATCATCTCGCCTCTTTAAAGTACAAGACAGGAGTACAACTATGGTGGCTCTCGTGGTCTAGAGGTATGGTGTTTGCCTCTCATTCAAAAGTCCCGTGTTCGAAACCTGACTTCGACGGAAAATTTGCTTCTGTGAAATTCTCTCCTTTCACTTCTTTCGTGCTCTCTAACCATCCATGTTTTGTCATCTGATTTTGTCTCCACTTTCTGCCCCCTCCTCAGGGCACCAGACTCTTTCTTCTACTATTCCTTGGTTCCTTCTTACTGCTCTCTTTCAGTCACATTCCTGATTGCCTGATATTAGGGTAAGCAAGATCAAACACCTAACCTTCTCTGCTACGGGTGAAAGTAGCTCGCAGACCCCATGTGCAAGTTGAGCACGTTAAAGATCCCTTAGTGGTCCAAAATTGATAAGAGTAGGCTTCAGCCACGAGGGGCAAGATTCAAAATTAATTCCTAGCACTACCAAACTAAAAATTTTAATGTGTCCTGTACGCTCTTATGACCTTATGCAGTTTCGTGCACCATAAAACTTACCGACAAAAAAAAAGTAGAACTAGATTCTAGATCTAGTCTATAACACCATAGACAGTGTATAAAATTGTGAGGTATAGTTCGGAACTAGGTCTAGATCTAGTTTACGGCGAACAGATGGGGTGAGGGTCAGGGAATGAACAAGTTATGGTTCACAGCACAGTAACAATTCGAAATTCAGTCCACTATTTCAGACTCAAAAGTCTCAGTCAGACATTAGATTGTAAAGAGACGCTACACCTAAAACCGGCACAGCTGCTCACTAGGCTACCCCTTAGACCACTCACTTGTACATCCTCGCCTCTTGATTCATGCTGCCTTCTTCAGCAAGAAAATAACACAATATACACTAACAAAAAAAAAGACAAAGAATACTGAAGCAACTCCTGGACGAATTGAAGCCAAAGGCAAAACACGCCTTATTCAAATGGTTGTCTGATGATATCTGCAGTGTTGCCTGCAGTCCAGAAATCCAATACAACAGGCTTTGTACCACAAAGGAAAATCTACTACACTGTAAGGCAGGGGTAAGCCAGAGGAACTGCTCTCACTGGCTTCACAATGACAACTGCACTGGACCCCCAGTGACAACAGTTGACTGCAAGGGGGCTGGAGTTGAAGTTCTTGCTCTAAACAGAGCTCAACAACTCCTCCCCACCCCCACCCCACCCCGCACACATTACTTTTATTTTTGTTTACACACTCATAATCATAAAGGTAAAGCAAATAGAAATATATATTTTAACCCATTGCCAGTTAACAATACGCTGTCCTTTCTCTCTTTTTCCTCTTTCAGATGTGTGTGTGTGGCGGGGATATGTGTGTGTGTGGCGGGGATAT